CTTGTTACCCTGTATCAGCCGTCAAGATCACTGCGGTCGGAGTCAGAATCTTTGTTGTGTGTCCCAAAATCTCGTACTGTGACCTACGGAAACAGATGCTTTGGGAGGGTTTCGGCTACGTTGTGGAATAGCTTACCATCTGCTATTATGAAGTCGATGACCCTGGCCAAGTTCAAGAGGGACATAAAAACTCACCTCTTCACGTCTGCATTTTAGAATCTTTGCAAAGACGTCATGTAAATACCACCCTTTTATTTGTTCAATAATGTGCACATTGCTTGTTAAATGTATGAAAGTGATTGCCAGCCTTTGTTGTTTGTTTTCACAATTACAACCATTACTATTATCCATATGTTGTAAAGCGCCTTAGAGTAATTTTACAAATTATATAGGGCGCTATATAAATGCTGTATATTATTATTATTATTATTATTCAATTTAATGACTTGTGATCTAGTTTTTACTACTCTTCAAAAATGAAAAACCTTCCTCTGTTGTGTTACAGATATTTCTTTTGTCTGAAATCTTGAGTTGTTTTTAAATGTATAAATATAATATAGAATATTTTGTCCTCACTGAACCAATCAGCTAATGTGTATAGATCTTGCTATCCTGGTATTCAGATGATGAGGTCACATTAAATAATATGTAAAATTTCATTGGTTGAAATATTCAGATGATGCGATCACGGAACAAACAGCTGAAGGAACTGTTCCCAGATGGGTTTGGGTGTCACCACGCAGGCATGCTCAGACAGGACCGTAACCTGGTGGAGCGTTATTTTTCCGCAGGCTTTATCAAATGTCTAGTTTGTACCGCCACCCTAGCCTGGGGAGTTAACCTCCCAGCGCACGCTGTCATCATCAAGGTTGGTAAAGAAAGCAGAATGTCCTATACTTATACACATACACTTTGTTTTAAATTACTTTGTTTTAAATTGGGAACAGTCGGGAAAACTTCAGGGATAGGCAGATATAAGGTCATATTAGGTCAGAAGCTGTCTATACCCATGTGGTATTGTATTTTGTGAGATAGAAAGGAACACAAGATGTTCCAAAATTTTGCTCAATAATATAATTGATATTCATTCAAAGAAAAACCTGTATAAAACTCCCACCTATGAATCTGAAATATTTGTCCTGTCTAGACAGGTGACCTCTGTATGGAGGTTCCAGTACATATAGGATCTTAATTACAGTATCCATTTCATATGAGATAAATGAAACAATTCTAAAATGTATTAATTTTAGTTAAGTCTTTGGCAAGCTGAAATGAACATTTGTTTTGAGTTTTGTAAATCTCATATGAATTGAAATAAAATGTAAGATCCTTTTTCGACTTGATAAGAAATTTTAGCAAATTTCCCCATTTTTTTTTCTTTTCTGGATCAAATCTCAGTTTCCACCATTTTTGCTGTATATTCAATGACTAGTGATGCCATGATATAACTTCAAAGTTTCATTATCATTTCTGGTGTCACAGGTCGTATAACATGAGTTCATATACCAAAATATGATATAGGTGTAATTACTGAATAACACTGCAATCATGTGATAAATGAAATATTGCTAAATGGGAACCTAGTACACAGTATTACTGTCCTTCAAAGACAGGTGTTCACTATATGAAGGTAGATAGCAGGTTTGACTCTTTCTAAATGATTTCAAAGAATGGAAGAGTTAAATAAGCAACTATATTATTTTTCTTTTAGGGTACCCAAATTTACGATGCTAAGAAAGGTTCGTTTGTGGATCTTGGTATACTGGACGTGATGCAGATTTTTGGTCGAGCTGGACGTCCACAGTTTGACAAGTTTGGACACGGAACCATCATCACGGCACATGACAAACTGTCTCACTATCTATCCCTGATGACCAGACAGAACCCTATAGAGAGTCAGTTCTGTAATAGTCTTACTGACAACCTAAATGCAGAGGTGGGTAGGAGGAAGGAGAGAGTGGGTTGGGGTGGGGATAATAACCCCATAGAGAGTCAGTTCTGTATCAGTCTTACTGACAATCTCAATGCAGAGGTGGGTAGGAGGAAGGAGAGAGTGGGGTGGGGATAATAACCCTATAGAGAATCAGTTCTGTGTCAGTCTTACTGACAATCTCAATGCAGAGGTGGGTAGGAGGAAGGAGAGAGTGGGGTGGAGTGGGGATAATAACCCCATAGAGAGTCAGTTCTGTAATAGTCTTACTGACAACTTAATGCAGAGGTGGGTAGGAGGAAGGAGAGAGTGGGGTGGGGTGGGGATAATAACCCCATAGAGAGTCAGTTCTGTGTCAGTCTTACTGACAATCTCAATGCAAAGGTGGATAGGAGGAAGGAGAGAGTGGGGTGGGGTGGGGATAATAACCCCATAGAGAGTCAGTTCTGTGTCAGTCTTACTGACAATCTCAATGCAGAGGTGGGTAGGAGGAAGGAGAGAGTGGTGTGGGGTGGGGACAATAACCCCATAGAGAGTCAGTTCTGTGTCAGTCTTACTGACAATCTCAATGCAGAGGTGGGTAGAACAAATAATTTGTTACCTCCTTAGACATGTGTATGTTTGTTATTTCATGTCTTATCCAGCCAATCAGCTGTTAAATACAGCATCCTTTATGTCACTGTCAGCACTTACATTTGGCCACGTGTATGACAAGGAAATGTTGATTTAGCTGTTGTGTTTTAGTGTTCACCTGGCTAACAGAAACCTTCCTTATTACCATCTGTAGATATAGATGTATGTCTATCATCTTGGAAATATTCGTTGATCCTTTTTATTTGTTGTCTTCAGTTTGAACACTATACTGTAGGAAAAAAGATAGGTACATCATATTTGAATACCTGTCAGTATACATTGTATCTGTATATTGGTGCAGAGGATTTTGGCACTTTCACATGAAGCACCAAATAAAATGAAAGTATAGCTTCAAGCAAAATATCCCAATACTGAAGTTAAAAAGCACTTTAATGCAAGCAATATGTATTAATGAACATAATATATATTTGATTTCTGTTGATATGCATTTGTTCATTAATCAGTGTCTTCCTGTCAGTCTTGAAGGTTTAGACCAGTGTGCATACAGTGTATTAGGTATAGGCTGTTTTAGACCTGTCTACATACCGTGTATTAGGTATAGGCTGTTTTAGACCTGTCTACATACAGTGTATTAGGTATAGGCTGTTTTAGACCTGTCTACATACAGTGTATTAGGTATAGGCTGTTTTAGACGGTCTACATACAGTGTATTAGGTATAGGCTATTTAGACTAGTGTGCATACAGTGTATTAGTTATAGGCTGTTTTAGACCTGTCTGCATACAGTGTATTAGGTATAGGCTGTTATAGACCTGTCTACATACAGTTTATTAGGTATAGGCTGTTTTAGACCAGTGTGCATACAGTGTATTAGGTATAGGCTGTTTTAGACCAGGCTGCATACAGTGTTTTAGGTATAGGCTGTTTTAGACCAGTGTGCATACAGTGTATTAGGTATAGGCTGTTTTAGACCTGCCTGCATACAGTGTATTAGGTATAGGCTGTTTTAGACCTGTCTGTATACAGTGTATTAGGTATAGGCTGTTTTAGACCAGGCTGCATACAGTGTTTTAGGTATAGGCTGTTTTAGACCTGTCTGCATACAATGTATTAGGTATAGGCTGTTTTAGACCTGTCTGTATACAGTGTATTAGGGATAGGCTGTTTTAGACCTGTCTGCATACAGTGTATTAGGGATAGGCTGTTTTAGACCTGTCTGTATACAGTGTATTAGGTATAGGCTGTTTTAGACCTGCCTGCATACAGTGTATTAGGTATAGGCTGTTTTAGGCCTGTCTGCATACAGTGTATTAGGTATAGGCTGTTTTAGACCTGTACAATTTTACTGTTCATGTATATCTGTGTTGTCCAGATTGCACTGGGGACAGTGACCAATGTGGAGGAGGCGGTCAAGTGGCTAAGCTACACTTACTTGTATGTACGGATGAAGTGTAACCCCCTCGTATACGGCATCAACTTTAACACATTGGAGGTATGTAAGAAAGCAAACTGATAAAAAACGAATGTTGTAATCAAGTTTAACTAACTGTTTATGAATATATAGAGGACATTCAATGGTTTCTTGGTAAATAACATTTCCATTTCACCAGTACACTAAACATTTTGGATGTTTTCATGACTTAAGGGAAGATACTGAGGAAAGTCTGATGTGAGAGTGAAATTAGTATGATATTTAATGGAAACTAGAAATGGCAGGAGATTGTCAGTATCGTGTTAATCATTGTATTGTGTCAGGGTATCTGATAGAATATCACAATTGCATGTTAAATATTTGTTTGTGACGTCTCAATCAACTTACCACATTTTTATGTCTTCATTGCAGTGAATATATTAGCTTTTTCAAGCTGATTATTGCCCATAAATAGAATTATATAGATGTAGCTTTGGTTTTCTTAATGAATAACAGTTATATTTCACAAATAGGATTCATATTTTGATAATATTCATGATTTTACATCACAATTAAGTCAATATCTTCAAAAAACATATTTATTCAACCCATTAATGAAATACAACTGAGTAAGAACAAATATTGAATATTACTAAAATGCTGATAAGAAGTTTTTTCATTGATATAAACTTTTCATCATTGTGAAATTGCAAACCCCAGAGTTTTGGCCTGATTGGCTGAAATAAAAGCTAGATGTCGAAGCATTTTTTTTTTTTTTTTAACTTTTTTTTTAAGAGTTAGAAATGATAAAATTAATGACTTTTGATGTTTATTTCTAATCCTGCTGTATTTTGTGACATATTTGATATGAGGAAGTCATGCTACAGAATGCTGTAATATTTGTGTTTACATGTCGATAGGCTGATCATCCTACAACAACTTATTCCGGACTATCCTTTGTTGTTAGTACAATTTATCTGATTTGTTACCAGACTGACCCCATGTTGGAGGCACATCGTCGCGACCTCATTACAGATGCCGGCAGAAAGCTGGACAAGACTCGAATGATCAGGTTCGATGAGAGAACGACCTACTTCTCCTCAACTGACCTGGGCAGGATAGCCAGTCACTTCTACATCAAATATGACACTGTAGAGGTAGGTGTCTCAGTGGAAAGGAGACGTTCATTTTTATTCTGCAATTTTATATATAACATTCATGTTAATTCTTCAAATTTCAGTTGATTTTCAGTAATTGGAACAACCAAAATGTATATGTTTCTTTTGTTGTTAAGGTAATAAATGAAAATCTGAAATCCCTGATGACAGAAGCAGATGTATTTGCCATGGTTTCAAAGTCCCAGGAGTTTGACCAGATAAAGGTTGGTCCTTTATCTTATGAAATGTTACATTTTTTTCTGGTGCTCTCACTGATGTATGCTGTTAACATGACCTCAAATTGATATCTGAACATAGCTAAAAAAAATCCAGTCGTAATTTGCTGGGTAATTAATTTGTTTTCCTTATCCCATCCTCTATAAATTAAAAACTCTTGTAATTGAAATGGTGCCACGGAGAAGCTTTAAAAGTGGCCGCTTGTTGCCAAATGTTCAATATTTTTTAACAACGTGAGATTGAGAGATCGTTGGCATGTTATGGAGAAGGTATCACAACACGAAAGTTTCCCAAATGATGTGTCATGCATGGGTTGGCATTAAATCTCTATAAAGTATGGATGTTACATAAATCTTTTTTGTATCACACAGGTTCGGGAAGATGAGATGGGTGAACTGGACAACCTGCTGAGTGACACGTGTGTGATGCAGGTGCAAGGAGGTGTGGAGAACACGTATGGCAAGGTCAACATTCTCATGCAGGTGTACGTGTCGCGCATGAACATCGAGAGCTTCTCCCTCATCTCTGACCAGGCCTATGTAGCTCAGGTAATCCTACGATCCAACATGGATTTGTTCACCAAACTATTTTCACAGTAAATAGGCAATATGTTTTAAATATTAAAAGCGGGCAAGTAAACCATTTTTTTTCATATCCTTCAACCTTGTATTATAGTTCTGTAATTCTTGGTACCTGTTCTTGAGACCTCTTCTATGAATAATATAAATGTATTGTTGATACCTTTTAAAGTCATTGTATGATAATTCTCTGTGTGCTGTAGAACTCTGCACGTATTGTGCGTGCACTGTTTGAGGTGTGTCTGAAGAACGGTTGGCCTGTGATGGCCAGCAGACTACTCAACCTGTGTAAAACCCTGGACAAGCGACTGTGGGGGTTTGAGCATCCCTTAAGACAGTTCCCAAACCTCTCCAGGGAGATCCTTGACAAACTAGAGGCTAGAAAACTCACTGTGGACAGACTCAAGGATATGGACCCTAAAGAAATAGGTATTTATCTATTGTACTGTCATCAGTCATTTCACATCTCCCTAACTCTGATCCTGTTTACTCAGAGGCGGCAATATTTCAACTGAAAAAGTTCTTATTTTCATCAAAATTTTCAAGTAGATGGTTACTTCTCTGATTACTGCGTATGCCTTGTCACAACATCTATCCCCCACTTATTATTAACTCCTGTTTACAGGTATAACAGATAATTATCATAATACAAATGTACACCCATTGTCAGAAGCATCATTTAACACTCAAAACTATTTCGATCAGCAAACTGATTTGATATTCGGAATTCGTAGTGGGGATTTTTCAGTATTTTTTCAATACTATAATAAAGAAAGACAGTTTTTTTCACACAGTCATTTTGTTTGTTTTCCAGAGGGGGGATCCACTGTTATTGTAGCCAACCCAGAAAAAATAAAATGAAATAATCGTAATTAAATGTGGAAATAGTATGACATACTATAAATAGTTATTGCACTCTACAAGTCACAGAAGGAAACTGAGGGAATCCAAACATTTGTTCTTTTTAAGGATTTTGTTAAATACATCTATTTGTATACAAAAATCTGGAGTCTTTTTACTCTAGGTCACATGGTTCACCATATACGCATGGGACCTGTCATCAAGAAGTGTGTGAACCAGATTCCAGCCTTAGACTTGGACGCCACCATCCAACCAATCACACGTACTGTACTCAGAGTGAGGCTGTCCATTGACCCGGTCTTCCATTGGGATGACAAGGTCGGTGTGACTTAAATGTTTTTACTTTTAATTGATTTAGAAATTCAGATCTCAAAAAATGCTATCATTTGTCCTTGCACCATTTCCTCTCGAATTCAGAAGTATAAAGACGCTTTTTGCTAGAATTATCCTAACTGTGTGTGAAAAATAGTATTTCTTTACTAAAACATGTACCCTTCATACACAGCTTGGACATTAAGTTTTACTCAAGAAAAGGAAATATACTTATTTTCTACAATTGTTGCATGAAACAAGTGTTTTGTGCAATGATCTTTTTTAAATGTGATGTAATGGTAACTCCTATTCAATAAGTCAACAGAATTGGTTTTGAAATTAAAAAGACCTACCATGGTAATTTTTTTAATTGTCTGTCATATTGGAAATCCTGATAACTTCCTTTGCCTGTAAACTTGCATGAACTTGCAATTGAACTGTGGGACATTAAAACTCTTGTGTGTCTTTTTGCAGGTCCATGGAACGAGTGCCGAGTCATTCTGGGTGTGGGTGGAGGACCCGGAAAACAACCACATCTACCACTCGGAGCGCTTCCTCCTCCACAAAAAGATGGTAAGTACTCGATGTAGGTAACAGAGTTTTTGTGCAAAATATGGATCTTTTGATCTTTTGACTCACAAACTGAAACGAACTTGGTTGTGAAAGTAGCCTCGGAGACATGTTTGTCATGATGTTTACAGGTGAAGGCGAAAGAGGTCCAGATCCTGATCTTCACAATCCCAATCTTTGAACCTCTGCCGAGCCAGTACTACGTTAAAGCAGTGTCCGAGAGATGGCTGGGATCAGAGGCCATGTGTGCCATCTCCTTCCAACACCTCATCCTTCCCGAGAAACATCCCCCCCACACAGGTAGGTCATAGGTGTGGAAGGTCAAAGATCTGGGCCCGTATTCATGAAACTGTTCTCGTACTCTGAACTCCAATTCATTGCTCAAGGTCAACTTCTTGTTCTGGTGATAAATCAATAATACTTATCATGTTGTCCATTATTTGGAAGAATTTTGGAGAGACTTAATGCAGAATATTGTTTTTTACCTTTTAACTGTGTCACCTGATTAAATTTAAGCACGTTTCAAGAAGGTTGGTTTGAGCACAGAATCCATGCATAAAAACGGTTTCATAAATACAGGGCCAGAAGATGAACAGTAAGGAGGTCTGAGGTGGATAGCTATAAGAGTATTGCTAATCACCATTTTTTTAGGGTGATGATTTTAAAATATTTGTGTTAGAATGTGTAGCCTATATCAGTGTGAGTAGTTGAAGATGTTTTACCTCTTTGTATTCATGTGTGTGGCCCTCGCTGCCTACACTTACCACTACAGCTCTGTTTGTCTGTATGATTATATGATTACATTTGTTCTGGTCAGTTTGTATGGTAACACTTTCCCTGGTAGTTATACCCTGGCAAATTGAGTTTGGGGACGGGGGGGTGGGGTATATAGAAAACACCCTGTCCATCGATCTGTCTGTGATACTCCTCCTTAACCATTTATGCTCACCTGGTCCAAAGATCCAAGTTGAGTTAATGCAGTAGCAAGGCATCCATCATTGTCCCC